AGGATGTTAACAATCAGGACATCATTAACATCATAGAATCATAGAATCATTCATTCAGGTTGGAAGAGACCCTTGGGATCATTGAGTCCAACCATCTACCCTACTCTACATAGTCCTCCCCTACACCATATCCCTCAGTACCCCATCTAAACATCCCTTAAACACAGCCAGGGATGGTGACTCAACCACCTCCCTGGGCAGCCTGTTCCAATGCCCGACCACTCTCTCTGTGAAAAATTCCTTCCTAATGTTCAGTCTAAACCTACCCTGTTGGAGCTTGAAGCCGTTCCCCCTTGAGGGAGAAGAGACCAGCACCAACCTCTCTACAGTGTCCTTTCAAGTAGTTGTAGAGAGTGATGAGGGCTCCCCTCAGCCTCCTCTTCCTCATACTAAACAGTCCCAGCTCCTTCATACTCGCTGCATTGCATCAATAACCCTGTACCTATCGCTTTGATTTGTTTTACTCCTTTTCCATAGTTGGGAAATGACTGCCCCAAGAGCTTAAAGCAGGTAACCTGGTGCCTGTGCAGCAGTTGGCGTGCTGATGCCTTAGGCCAGCTTGACCTAAACCCCAGCGCAGTGACCATGAATGAGCTGATGCTGCCAGTACTGCGGATGCTTCTCCCTACAAGAGCTATACTCTTCACTCGCAGTCAATGCTCCCCATTCTTCCTGGTACACGCAGCAGCAGAGGTAAAGCTGGTGGTATTACACGGTATATTCAGGTTTCTGCTCCTGTTGTCAGATTGTGATAAGAAAGGGCTTTTTTGCTAAGAACAGTACACAAAGAAATAGGCAGAGTCAACGCACTACACTGAGAAGTTCAAAAGAGGAAGTAGGCAAAGCACTTCCCCATGTGGTTACAAAATACTTCCCACCACTTTATATAATATGGGTTCATATGCCATACTTATTAACACAGCTGAATTTACTGCTGTTTGATCTCTTTTCCACCCTTCCGCTGGCACCATTCTCTGTGTTTTTTGTTATTGATTTGGCATTCTTCTGCAGGCTATTCAAATTATTTTAATACAATTCATAAGGATCACACTGTAAAGCTACTCAAAGGTTCAGGAAATATTTGTCTGACATTCTACTCCCATATTCTACAGCAATAGTCCTGGCTATTTTTCATAAGGTTGGGAGAAGAGCCTGCCAGATACTGAACTAGCCTGCCAGGTGGCACAGAGTTATTTTTTCTATCAGCTCAACTCAAAAAATGCAGCAGACACAGAAATATTTGATCTGATATGTTCACAGGTCACACCTAGCACAGCAAAGTATTAAGCTTGTAAAGTAAGTTCACTCCTTTTCAATAAGCACAGACTGACACACAGCAGAATAAAAGCATTTGATCCATCAATATTTCTCAGTTAAATTAAACAACTAGAGATCCCCAAAGACAGACATCTGCACTTGAATCTTTTAGAAGAATGTTGTTTTCACTTTTTAAATGCCCAATATAACTTGACTTCTCTTAGGCCAATCCAGACTACTGGAGGAATGCAAAGATAGAGAACAGAGGTATGCCCGTGTCTTTACAAGCATTCCCTGGCAATCCTCAGCAATACATGCATCCCTGGCAAGGGGTGTCAATGTTAATAGGAAGGGTTTCTTCAAGTATATCAGAGGGAAAAAGAAAACTAGAGAAAATGTGGGCCCACTATTGAATGAGACAGGTGCCATGATGACAGAGGATGCAGAGAAGGTGGAGTTGCTGAACGCCTTCTTTCCTTCACTCTTTACTGCTCAGGTCAGCCTTCAGGAGTCCCAGACTTTGGAGGTAAGAGAGACAGTCTGGATGAAGGAAGACTTCCCCTTGGTGAAGGAAGATCAAGTCAGAGAGCAGTTAAGTAAACTGGATATCTGCAAGTGCATGGATCCTGATGGGATGCACCCACAAGTGCTGAGAGACCTGGCAGAAGTCATTGCTGGGCCCCTCTCCAATGTCTTTGAAAAGTCCTGGAGAACAGGTGAGGTGCCCAAGGGCTGGAGGAAAGCCGATGTCTCTTCAGTTTTCAAAAAGGGCAAGAAGGAGCACCTGGGGAACTACAGGCCAGTCAGCCTCACCTCCATCCCTGGAACAATGATGGAATGTCTCATTCTGGGCATCATCTCCAAGCATATGGAGGAAAAGATAGCCATCAGAAGTAGTCAACACAGATTCACCAAGGGGAAATCACGTCTGACTAACCTGATAGCCTTCTACAATGGCATGACTGGATGGATAGATGAGGGGAGGGTGATGGATGCTGTCTACTTTGACTTCAGCAAGGCTTTTGACACAATCTCCCACAGCATCCTCATAGGTAAGCTTAGGAAGTGTGGGTTAGATGAATGGACAGTGAGGTGGACTGAAAACTGACTGAAAGAGCTCAGAGGGTCGTGATTAGGGGCACAGAGTCTAGTTGGAGGTCTGTAACAAGTGGTGTTGCCCAGGCGTCAATACTGCGTCCAGTCCTCTTCAATATTTTCATCAATGACCTGGATGAAGGGATGGAATGTACCCTCAGCAAGTTTGCTGATGACACAAAATTGGGAGGGGCAGCTGACACACCAGAAGGCTGTGCCACCATCCAGCGAGACCTGAACAGGCTGAAAACTTGAGCAGAGAGGAATCTGATGAACTTCAACAAGGGCAAGTGTAGGGTGCTGCACCTGGAGTGCACCAGGACAGGTTGGGGCTGACCTGCTGGACAGCAGCTCTGAGGAGAAAGACCTTGGGGTCCTGGCGGACAACAGGATGCCCATGAGCCAGCAATGTGCCTTTGTGGCCAAGAAGGCCAAGGGCATCCTGGGGTGTGTTAAAAAGAGCATGGCCAGCAAGTGGCGGGAGGTCATCCTGCCCCTCTGCTCTGCGCTGGGGAGGCCCCATGTGGAGCACTGGGACCAGTTCTGGGCTCCCCAGTTCCAGAAGGACAGGGAACTCCTAGAGAGGGTACAGCAGAGGGCTACAAAGATGATGAGGGGACTAGAACATCTCTCTTATGAGAAAAGGCTGAGGGACTTGGGCCTTTTTAATCTGGAGAAGACTGAGGGGGGGTCTTATCAGTGCTTATAACTACTTAAAGGGTGGGTGTCAAGAGGATGGGGCCAGTCTTTCTTCAGTGGTGCCCAGCGACAGGACAAGAGGTAACGGGCACAAACTGGAACATAGGAAGTTCCATCTAAACATGACAAGGAATTCCTTTTACTTTGAGGGTGGCAACGCACTGGAACAGGCTGCCCAGAGAGGTGGTGGCATCTCCATCTCTAGAGCCATCCAAAACCTGCCTGGACACGTTCCTGTGCAACCTGCTCTAGGTGGATCTGCTTTGGCAGGGGGGTTGGAATACATCTCCAGAGGTCCCTTCCAACCCCATATAATTCCGTATCATTGTTCCCCCAGATTATCATTGCATATACTAATAAATGTAAAATTGCTAAAAGTGGGGATAATCGTCACCCAGCTTCTTCAAAAAGATTTCTCTATATATACAGCAATTTTTAAAATGTTAATGGTGAGAGGTGAGTTATATTAAACCAAGACGAAGGCTGTCTTGCTAGCAAGAACTGCCTTAGGACAAATGCAATAGGCCTTAAAAACCACAACAAGTTAAAAATATCGTGGTAGTAATACAGGGAGGTTTTTGAATCCTACATAGATGTTTTGTTTACCCGGATGTCCGCAAGTCAAGGACATGAGCATCCAGACTGGCACTCTTCATGCCACAAATCGCTATTCGTGACCAATGTATGGTTTCTCTCCTTGGGAAATTCCTTAGGATCCAGCAGAACACAGATTCTTTCAGTGGACTACTAGGCACTGTTTTCTGCTACTTTCTCTCTCAAATTTATTTAACTGACAGCTGTTCGATGTTTTTCAGCAGCTCTACCAAGGATGAAAACAACATGCCATCAGAGCACCCATTTCATTACGGATCTATTAGCCACATATCACTACTAGTCACCAGTCAATGTGTACTACATGTTTCCATTTCTGCCTAATAACAGAGTTCTATCTCCTACTGGAACAGTAGAAACATTTTAGTATGTTGGATCTCCACCTTATTTGCGTTACAGCACCAGGAATAAGATTTGACACTGGTAAAGGCCAAATCACACGAGATCTGCTTGAAGTCTACAGATCAACTTACATCTGTGGTTTCTTTTCAAAACTGTTGGCTTTCAGTTTATGCTGGTTATGGTGAACTGCAGCTGGCAAACATCTAGCTAGCATTAGGGGAAAAAGAATTAATGTAAGCTTGTTTTGAACAGAAAATTGGTTGTCTTCAGAGTTACAAGATTTCACAATAAGTCTGTTGTGATTACACGGGACATCTGAAAACAATTCCTCATCTCCCAAAGGTATACCAAAGCCATCTTGAAGAAATTATCAGGATCAAAATTACTTATTATGTAAGAAATATGCATTGAAATTATTAGCAGACTTACAGATAGTTAAAGCTACAGAGTATTTTTTAAAAGGCTATTTGATTTTCATCACTATTCTCATAATTTCTTTTCCTGTCCAAGGTTAAAGAGATTTATGTAGAAAAACTCTGTCAAGATTCCTGTCTTCTTCCGTCATCTCAAAAAGAAACAAAACAACTCTTCCTCTTCCCCACTCCAACTCAAAGAGATGCAAAACATTCATTACAAAAATTGGTGTAAAATAGAAGATATCTCAAGCCCAGAACACTGCATATGTAGGATTTTTTAAAATTATTTTGCTATCTTCACACTTTCACCAGAATCATATATCCGATGCACTCCATCTGATAACTACATCTAAAATGCAGAAATTATACACTTGAAAAAAGCCTTTAGAAGAGAGCATTATGCTCATGCATGCTAAAAATTACTAGAAGTTGTGATTTTAATGTTCCACCTCCTTGGAAGAAAAACCAAATCCAAACCAAAAACTACCACACCAAAAAAACAGCATGCACTTCAGCATTAAGCAGTATTTCCTTTTGCCAAGGAGTATGATTTAATAAAATAATGCATTGTTGACTCACCACAGCACGTGCTATGTCTCATCTATACGAAATGGTTCAAAGGCATCAGCTTCATGCACGGGTTGCCATAGCTGATATTTGAGTCTGGCCTGCTGCTGGTACAGGTTTCTAATATTAGCCCTAAGCACATACACACACACAAAAAAAAAAAAAAAAAAAAAGAAAAAAAATTTTAAAATATCTAACAAAAAATTAAAATGATAAAATTCAAAATTCCTGTTGTATTTTATAAAAAATCCTCTACTTTTTATTCTTACATTGAAAAAAAAAAGAAGAAAGAAATATTTGGGATTTATTTATCAAGTCTGATAGACACAGAAAAAGTTCAGAAAACTAAACTAACCTGGAATGTCAGTATTTTCACACCATATAACAAAGACTTAAGATTTCCCTCTAATAATACCATAATGCATCCAGTTACAGGCAGTATCTGTACCATAGGTTTCCCTTCTTCCACACAAAGAAGAAAGGCTAGAGATCAAAAACAATACAGAATGCAGTGCTGTTTAAATGGGAGAGAGGTGTCATAGTTCTTTTCTCCCCCCAAAAAAGGAGAAAAAGAAAAAATAAAAATCAAGGCAGGCAGAGCCTAGTATTCAAGAACTCAAGTTCAAGACTGTTGTTTTTTTTGCAAGAGATGGCACTAAAAATCATAAAACTCTTCTAAAATACTTATTTTAGTTTCTCCCCTATAGCTTTCACTATCAAAAGTTCAGATTTGTGCACAGTCATCTGTCACTAATACCTGGGGATTGAAGTTAAATTTAACTCGTGACATTACAAAAAACTTTAGAAACTGTGCAACATGGATACACAGGCATAAGAAAAGGCCTGTGAATTACTGTTTATCAAATTAACATCCTCTTAAAAACAAACAGAAAAACATGTGACAAAGTATGTTAAACTGACAAAGTGCTTTCAGTTAAGAAACTTACAGACAACCTCAAGAGACTAGGTAAAAAACAAATGTTGTGGTATTAAGACCATGAACGAGAGAGCAACAGTCAAGCGTGTACCACTCTGGTGTCTAACCACTAAACAAAATTAGGTAACTAATATTAAGTGGAAAGTTTGGGCAACATTTTCTTACCACTGTTTCACAACATGTTTTCAAATACTTCAGAAGAGAACTGAAACTTTGTAAGGAATAGATTACAAATCCTTATGAGAAAACAACTGCTCAAGCAGATGGGGCCCATTACCCTTCACTGAGATGGGACAAGAGCTGCACATACTCAGGCTCCCTGGAATCCCACTTCAAATAGCAATTCCTAATTTTCTGGGGTGTCTGATCTCTTAGTGTAGAATCCTGGTGGAAGCAGCTATTGACTTGACAACAAGGCTCCTCTGGGCTTCCAACTTTTACTGTTTATTACATTGTAAAAAGCTGTCCCGTGAGACTAAACCACACAAAAATTCCCATGTCGTTACTGTGATCTGCACTCATGTGATCATCAAGCTCTTCTTTTCCTTGGACAGGAGAAAAACCTGGAAGCCTAAAAATACAACAGCTGCTTTTTCTTGATGTAACAAGGGCTCTGACTGTGTCCTATGCTCCAGGCATGGTCTGGGATATCCTAAAATACACGACTTCACAGCCCTTCTGTAGAGATGAAGTTGAGGAGAGCATTCCACTCTCACTAGTGAGTTCATGTGCCAAATCCTTTATTAAAAATACCATGATACAACAAACAATACTGGAAAGTATTGGGACTTGAAATTCCTGCCCTTCTCTTCTAACAACTAGCCAATAGTGATTCTAAAGCTTGCTACCAAAGCTACGACTATCAGGCTAAAACACGGTGTAGTAACTCAAGAAAAGCCGTGTAACTTTTGCAAATGGTAGATGGAGAACCATTAAATTCTGTCCCATCCCCCATACTGCTTTTGATCTATACTTTAATCTCATTATCACAGCGTAAGAGAAAGGAAACATAGCTCTGACACCTGATATTTCACTCTAAAGTTGTACATTTCTTTCAGTTTTAGATGGTTACTTAAGTACAAAAGATTTTTTTGTTTCAGTGAAAGACTATTTTTCTTATATCTGCCTCCACAGATGGTGCTGCAAGAAAGAAATAAAAAACTCACAGCAAATGCAGCATTTTTGCCTTTAACTGGTGCCCTATCATTAGGGTTAATTTTTCTTGCAGGTGGCCTTCAAAACAGTCAGTGTGCAAGAATCATAGAAAAAGGAAGCAGAATACAAGTGTTGGAACGCTGGCTATGTTTATATTCAGTATTATGGTCCAGTGAAGTCTCTCTCCTTTACTCCTGGTGGCATAACAGAGCAGCAACTGTGGTAATATTGCAATCACTAAGTTTTTAGATCATAATTTCTAGTAGGGCTATTATTACTCAAAATGTAATAAGTGGAATGGGATGGGCTATGGGTATAGAATGCTTCCCATTTGAAAAAAAAAAAAAAAAAAGAACTTAGTTTGTTTGGAAAATTTATCAACAAGCTAATGATATTTTCTGTTATTCAGGAATTGTCTAAAAAAATGGGTACCCTTGACTGAAAAACAGTTTAAGAGATAACCAATTTTAAATCTGTGGACCTTTCTCTAAATGCAGCTTTTCTGCATTCCAAATCTGAATAAACTTATGATGTCGTCTGCAAAAGCAATGCTAAAACCCTCCTCCTTTGGGCCTGCTTTAGCTTTCCCTTAAATTGTATGAGTTTTGCAATGGACTGCAAAACACAAGTGAGCTTTATGACATTCTTCAGTACCACGGTAGAGAAATTTTGATAGCTGTCCCTTTGATTTCACAAGCCAGATCTGGTACTGTAACACTGCTGGAAGATATTTCGTCTTAAAATTATTGATCCAGTGCTACTAAACCTCTAAACAATGGCTGCAAACATGCCAATTACTGACAGTGGAGGAAAAAAACCTACAAGAAAACACTTATCCCCAAGGTCTGCTCATAAAAAAGCTCCTCCGGTGCACACACATATTTGTAACCATGAGAATGACATTTTCTAATATCAAAAAGGCAGGCAGGCAGCTGAAGACAACTTATTTTTCACATTAAGCAATTTTTGTCCTTACCCTATTTAGGAACATCACTGTAATCCAAATACTCCTCAATAAAATCATAATTGCAAGAGGACCCTGACAAATTATGCATGCTCTGAAACAGCAGGAGAGAGCAATGCGCAAGAGTGCAGTTTCCTGTGAGTCAGGGAGAAAGAATATTGTTAAATCACCTTTCTCATTCACATCTGTGTCCTCTTAAGACAAAGTCATTAGTTGAGCCAATTGAGAAGATATTTCTATGCCACCTTTCCTAGCAGGAAGACTAAGCACACAGCAGAAGCACCACAGAAGAAAAAAATATTCCACAGTGTTTCTGAGAAATAACTACAGAGCTATGTTCTGAAAGAGGGTTAAAATACCAGAGGTTTGGTATTTTCACTTTCCCCAAGCAGGGGAACCAAAGATCACTTACATGTGGGCAAACAGCCCTGTGTAGTAACAAAACCATTCTATTCTATCTTAACCTTTCTCATTTTCTGAAGCTGGCCTTGCATGACAAGCTCTATGTCCTCCAGCAAGCTGATTTCAGGCTTCTCTTGATCCTTTGCAATATACTCATTTGCATTTTCCTCCTAAAAAAATTTTTACTCTATGCCCTCATTTTCGTCAAATAGCGTTGGTTTGTCTTTAAACAAGTCCCTGGCAAAACTCACAGTGACCATATTAGAGAAGGGGAAGGCTGTATTGAGGATATCATGGAGCTATGCAGCAAAAAAGAACCCAAGGCTACAGTCCCTCAGCACACAAATGGTGTGAAACTTGCCCATGGTGGTTCACTGGGAGCAGCACCTGCTTATTCAACAATGCTGTTACGCTTAATTATCCAAGTAAAATTTGTATTATTTCTAATAAGGCCTCTCTGCAGTAAAAAACAAAACGAACATTTCTTCCTGTAGCAACAGCTTTTCTGCCAGAGAATTTCCCTGCAAAGCAACATTGATTTCACTGCAGTATCTACAGATTGTTAATTCTCTTTTGCAAAATAACTGGCCTGTAGCACGCTGGAAACATTTCTCCTAAAAGCTCTTGGTGGTACTGTAAGACCCAATAGGTTGAGTTCACTTGCATCTGACAGTAATGCAGAAGGGTGATGGTTACCCTAAAAGACCACTTTCTTAAAAACAATCCCCATCACCACATCCAACACAGTTTGTCAAACACTCGCTTCTCCCCACACACATTATTGTTTTTTTTTTTATTCAACCACTTTGCAAAAGGCCAAGACTTCTGTCCTCTGGATCTTCGAGTTGTTTATCATTACACCCTCTTCTTTTTCATTTTTACAAATTCAAATTTTATATGGCGCTCTGTATGGACCCTTTAACTCACATAATGTAATCGTTTGCACTGAACTGCAAGCCAAGACACCTCCTTCCCCCAAAAGCCCCCAAACAGTGCTAGAGGTGATGAGGCTGAGTAAAGCACTACTGTTTACATGAGCCAGCTGGTAAAGCACTATCACACTCCTGGCCCTGATGTGCCTCTGCACGGCTCTCACAACCACCGGTCAGCTAAAGCGCCCAAACAGAAAAGCTCATACACACCCAAACACAGGAAAATGATGGTTCTCTGGCCACAAAACAGGCAGCTGCAGGTTTCTTTGCTTCGCTTAGCAGTTTACTTCATTAACCTGTCCCTCTTTCCCTCTCCCCCATTTTTTTAAAAACCCAAGTCAATATTCATCACCCCACCCTGCGAAAGCAGTTAGTCATAGAATATTAGCATCAACCACCTACCATTCCGTGCTCGCCAGCTATTCTCCTCGTCCAGAAACCTTTCTCCCAAACTGCGACTTTAGGTGGTATTTTTAAAACACATTCCAAGCAGTGCCAAGGAAAAAAATGGGCTATTTATAATACTAAAAAATAAAAAGATGTGCAGTTGGATTCAAGGTAAATCAATGTTTTCATTTAAAAAATGAAATAAAAGCCTGGGGGAGAGGGTAGAGCAGAACAGAAAAAGGGGAGGCAAAATGTCTGATAATAATGAAATAAAAGAGAAGGGGGGGGGGAGGAAGGGAAAAAAAAAAAAAAAAAAAAAGAGGCTTGCTGAATCACGCTCTTTCACTGCCTGGAAACCATTGTGCAGCGTGATGCTGGCTGTACCATTGTGGAACCTACCAGAGGAGACAGGCAGAGAGCTTGGGGAATGGGGCTGCTATGGCAACCGAAAGGAGCGCACGTGACGTCAAAGCACACAGAGGTCTTGCAGGGGGAGGGAGAGAAAAGTCTAATCTGCAGCCACAGCTACCGTATCTCCTGGTGAATCAGGGGACAGAGCAGAATATGCACAAGGAAGCTAAATAATGTTCGGTAGCATTTACCAGCACCAGGAGCTCAGGCATCTGCAGCATCAGGGAGATAGTCAGCACAGAGAGGAGATACTAACAGCAGAGTAGATCTGCTCTTCTGTTTGCATTAGCTGTTATACAAAGTCATAAATGCCCAGTGCCCTAAAAAAAAATTTCCAAATATTTGAAATTCATGTTGAATTTCAAATACTGAATTCAAGTTCTATGCTGGGGGAGAGAGGGGAGGGAGAGAAGATAAAAAATAAAATTAAAAAGAAAAAAAAAAAAAATCACTTCTCCTTCCCAGCTACTGAATACAGCTATTCATGCAGCTATTGCTCACATGAACGAGCAACACTAAGAACAGAGTCCCTTAGAAGTCCAAGGAATTGCTAGGGACCTCCCCATTAGGAGGCCCACCACAAGAATACCCCAAATCCCCAGACGGAAGACCTGGTACTCCTAAAAGGTCCCATTGTACAGAGGTACCATTGCACTTTGAGCTTGCAGAACCAGCAGAGTTGGTGATGGCCTCAAGTTGAGAAGTTATGCAGACCACATTTCTTCTACATACGCCAAACTGCAGGATGTCTCCTCTCTTCTGACACTAAAGAGCAAATAAACTACGCTGGTAAGATGGCCACACTGAACAGGACTTCTGTCAGATTTAGGCTGGGATGAGAGCTAGCCAGATACATTATGGTGAAATGCAATCTTGCTGGAATACCTATCTTCTTTGAGATAGGTATAGACCTATTGAATGGATAGACCATTTCATTCAGTATATCAATTACATTTTTCAGAGGAACTCACCACAGCTTGCCTGCCAGTGCTTGGTATGTTCTGGCTTTACCACAGCCAGAACCAAACAGCCCCATGTAACCTAGAACTCTTAACATGGGCATCACCTAGTTCAGGTTGGGTAACTGTTCCCTTTCTGAGGGCCATCCAAATGCCTTCACAGAATCACAGAATCTTCTAGGTTGGAAGGGACCTTAAAGATCATCTTGTCCAACCATCAACCTAACTGACAAAAATAGACACCCACACAACAAACAAGGAGCATCATCACTAAACCATACCTCCCAGCACTACATCAACCCGGCTTTTGAACACCTCCAGGGATGGGGCCTCAACCACCTCCCTGGGCAGCCCATTCCAATGCTGTGAAAAAATTTTTCCTAATATCCAGCCTGAGATGGGCCATACACTGACATATGACATGATTATTGCCAGCAGGTCGAGGGAGGTGATTCCCCTCCCCTACTCCACTCTTGTAAGACCCCCCACCTGGAGTACTGCATCCAGCTCCGGAAGGCTCGGCACAGGAAAGGCATGGACCTGTTGGAGCGGGTCCAGAAGTGGGCCACAAAAATGATCGGAGGACTGGAGCACCTTTCCTACGAAGACAGATTGAGAGAAAGCCAACAACAATAACACTGACAGAGGAATGTACAAAACACAATTAATGTACCACCACTCACCAGCTGGACCCAGGAAGCACCCAGCCCACTCTGAGTTGCTCCCATTCCTGATCCCTCCCCTGCCCAGCTCCACTGGCTATATACTGGGATGGCATCACATGGGATGGAATGCCTGTGTCCTGTGCCAGCTCCTTCTGAAAATTAACCCTATCCCTGCCAGAACCAGAACAACTAGATATAAGGAAGAAATTTTTTACAATGAGGGTGGTGAAACACTGGAACAGGTTGCCTGAGAGGTGGTGGATGCCCCGTCCCTGGAAACATTCAAGGTGAGGCCGGATGGGGCTCTGAGCAACCTACCTAGTTGAAGATGTCCCTGCTCATTGCAGGGGAGGTTGGACTAGATGACCTTTTAAGTCATCCCCTTCCAACCTAAACTATTCTATAATTCCACCCACAAACACTTAAACTGTTCAGCATAACTACAGACGAAGTGAAGTCATTGGCTGTGTCTGGCCCCTGAGCTATAGGTTACCTCTTCTTGTCTTGAACATACCATGTTCTTCCACGCTCCTTTCTTCATTAGCCTGTTTCTCCTATGTGTTCTGCTATCAGCACTTGACAGGGTTTTGTATATATTGTATCTATTTCATTATTGTCTTCTTTTTGATTTTAATAGTATTTCTTCATTAAGGTAGTTTAGATAATTCTAAACTAAATTTCCTTATCTCTTCCTCTCCTCTCTTTTGGGTGGCGGGGAAAGGCCATCTGTCAGTCTGGTTTTGGTAAATTTGGCTGAAACCACAACAGAGACAAAGCCTGATAACTGAAAAAAAGGCAAGAATATCACAGGGAGGTCATGGCTTTTGGACAAATTCACTTGATTAATTTTGGAAGGTTTTAAGTGAAAGAGACAGTGAATCAGCATAATAGATGCATCAGAAGAATTAGTAAAAGACAGAGAATGATTAACAGCAACTAACCTAAGGAGTTACACTGATCACCTGCTTGTAGATCATACAAACAACTGCAAAATCAGGCAATTACTCTGGTATTTTACAGAAATGTTTAGAAATTGAAAACCTGGTTTACATTTGGTAGAGGAAAGAAGTATTTCCTGAAAAAAATGGTTCTTCAAGTCAAGAGTGCTATTCATTACCCGTACATTTCTAAATCAAGATCTTATAGAGGATAAAACAAATCTTAGCAGATTTACATTAAGCAGCAATAAGACAGGCACTAACACAGCAGAAATCTGCACATGCATGCATATGAATACACAAATTAGAAGGGTTCAAGTCTTTATACCCATTTTAATCAGAAAAAGGAAGTCCTGATCCAAAGCCCATAAGTAGGTAAGGAAGGATTGACAGAACTAGTATTGAGGACTCCAGCATTGCCTGCAAGTTAAAATTAAGTAGAACAGCTAAATTTTAATTTGATTTGTAGAAAATTCATTCACAGCAAAACAAAGCGACATAGGTATGTCAGCTACCCAATGTAATATATATATGGGATGCGTGTTCTCCAAGTACATAAAAATTCTCTTTACTGTACCCACTTTCTGCACTGGATGCCTACGGAATGGTCACAATGCTCTCAAACACTGGGTGAGGGGAGGAGAATGTGCGATGCTGTACCAGAATAAGACCCTTGGAGATGTACCCAGCTGCTTCTACCATACTGTGTTATTCACATCTGGCAGAGCAACTTTATTAAGCACTATCTTCTAATATTGATTCTGAGGACGATGTGCAAACTGGCCAAGTCTGACAGGTCCATAAATCCCCCAAAGGTGCAGAATGGTGCTGTGAAAAGATCCAAGCCAATACAATTTAATTTCAAAATTGAAGTATATAGCTCAGATACAGAGATCACATTCTCTGTATTCTCATTCCATTAATTTAGACACTGTTTGGGCTTCTAGCCTTTCCCCTTTCTTCACTGCCTCAGCATACTTCTCCTTCATTTCATACTGCTATATTGCAAAGGATGTCATAGAAACAGCAAGAAGAAAAAAAAAGACACTTATGAAAATCCTGCCTAAGCTAGAGAAACATAAGGATCCCAATCTGTTTACCTCACTTCAAAAATAAATTGAGAGATGGTGTGATCAGTGTCTGTGAGTACCAATACTGGAAAAAGGTTTCTGATCTAGACAACTGTGTAGTCTAGTAAATTAGGACAAATCTACAGCCACCAATTGGAATACGAATCTAGGCAAAGCCAGAAAATTCGATAAGAAAAATAAGTTCTGCAAGTTATACCAGAAGCACATGGCATGCATCAACTTAATATTGCATTATTTTGGCTGACAGGAAAGCCAAGATGGTAACCTGCCTGAATGGAAATAAAAGCTGAGAGAACCGCTTCTGTTGACTGAGAATAGTTTGCAGAGGCCAATTTCAGGAATTATTCTTATAACTTGTATAGTTACTTCACTGAAGAGGGACTGCAGTATCACATTATGTTTTCATCAGGAAAAAAAAAAAAAGAAAAAAAAAGTACTTCAGAAAGAAAGTGTTAATCCTACTTATTAAGTCAAAAGAAAGTTCAAAAGTTAACGATTAATAACTACTAAAATAGATAACAGACTGATGGAAAGAAAAAATTGAAACCAAAGTCAGGATCCACAGGAAACTCATGCCTGCAAGACAGAAAGGGAGGCTCTAATCAATTAGCTATTTTAGAGAGAAAAATAACACTGGAAGTCTGTATTTCAGTCCTAAGAATTAAAATACTATGGAGATTGATTTATCTACAGTGATTTTTGTTGTGGGCTATTGCAAACTTTCATAACACCCTGTGGTTTTTTTGAGCCAAAATCCAGGACAAAAACCAGAAAACACTACTTTTTGACACCTACCTGGCAGGTCTATCTCCTACATTTTCCCCTCAGTGACTTAAGCAAAAGAAACACAGGATGGAAATCATACGCTTTTTATCCAAACAACACTCTCAGGTGAGCCATGCTTCTTGCAAGCATCTTATGAGGCACAATTAGGTCATCTCATCATAGGCACCTGGTGCTATTTGAGATACCCTATGAAATCCAATATAATCTACACAGACTTGGGGAGTGTGTCACTGGACATTCAGGAGAATCATGCCATTCTTGAATCAGCAGCTAAGTAACAGATAATTTTCTCTGTGGTATATCATATCACACTGATATCTATGTTTGTGCAACTGAATATGGCCCTAATGTCCTTGGGCATTAACTCTACACTGGCCAGCTCTCCGTTGTCCTCTCCAAGGCAAGCTGCAATTTATGA